TGTGATGATCTCCCGGTGTGTGTGTTCCCCGGTGCGGGAGGGAGGTGCGGAGGGGGGAGGTTCCTCTTGTGATGATCTCCTGGTGTGTGTTTCCCGGCTGGGGAGGAGAGGTGAAAGGGGGGGGAGGTTCCTTTTGTGATGTCTCCTGTGTGTGGTGTTCCCCGGCTGCGGGGGCGGGAGGAGGGTGCAGGAGGAGGGAGGGGTTCCTCTGTGTGTCTTCCCCTGTGTGTGGGTTTCCCCGGCTGGGGAGGGAGGAGAGGTGAGGGGGGGGAGGAGGTTCCCTTTTGTGGTCTCCTGTGTGTGTGTGTTCCAGGTGCGGGAGGGAGGTGGAGGAGGAGGGAGGTTTCCCCTTTGTGATGATCTCCGGGTGTGTGTTCCCCGGTGCGGGAGGAGAGGTGGGAGGAGGGAGGGTTTTCCTTGTGATGATTCCTGTCTGTGTGTTTCCCAGGTGCGGGGCGGGGGGGAGGTGCAGGGGGGGGGGGGGTTTCCCCTCTGTGATATTCCTGTGGTGTGTGTTCCCCGGGCGGGGAGGGAGGAGAGGTGCGGGGGAGGGAGGGTTTTCTGTATGATCTCCTTTTGTGTGTGTGTTCCCAGGTGGGGGGGGGGAGAGGGGAAGGAGGAGGGAGGTTCTCTCTGTGTGACTCCCGTGTGGGGTGGGGTTCCCGGTGGGGGGGAGGTGCGGGGGAGAGAGGTTCCTCTTGTGATGTCTCTGTTGGTGTGTTCCAGGCGGGGAAGGGGGGGGAGAGGGTAGGAGGAGGGGGGTTCTCTGTGTGATCCCTGGTGTGGTGTCCAGGCTGCGTGAGGGAGGTGAGGAGTAGGGAGGTTCTCCTGTGGATCTCCGGGTGGTTTCCCCGGTGCGGGAGGGGAGGGCAGGAGGAGGGGGTTTTCTCTGTGTGATCTCCCGTGTGTGTGTGTTCCCAGGCTGCGGGAGGAGGGGGGGAGGAGGAGGGAGGTTCCTCTCTGTGATGATCTCCTGTGTGTGTGTGTTCCCAGGCTGCGGGAGCGGGAGGAGAGGTGCAGGAGGAGGGAGGTTCCTCTCTGTGATGATCTCCTGTGTGTGTGTGTTCCCAGGCTGCGGGAGCGTGAGGAGAGGTGCAGGAGGAGGGAGGTTCCTCTCTGTGATGATCTCCTGTGTGTGTGTGTTCCCAGGCTGCGGGAGCGGGAGGAGAGGTGCAGGAGGAGGGAGGTTCCTCTCTGTGATGATCTCCTGTGTGTGTGTGTTCCCAGGCTGCGGAGGGAGGTTCCTCTCTGTGATGATCTCCTGTGTGTGTGTGTTTCCCCAGGCTGCGGGGGAGGTTCCTCTCTGTGATGATCTCCTGTGTGTGTGTGTGTTCCCAGGCTGCGGGAGCGGGAGGAGAGGTGCAGGAGGAGGGAGGTTCCTCTCTGTGATGATCTCCAGATGGGGGCGATACAGGAGAGACTCACTGAGAGAAACCAGCTCATCAAACGCCTGGTGGTAAGAACACACACACCCCCACACAAACACCCCCAACACACACCCCACCCCACACAAACACCAACACACAACCACAACACACACCCCACCACACCACACACGACACACCACCCACACACACACCCCAAACACAACACCACACACACCACACCAACCAACCACAAAACCACCCACACACACAAAAAATCACCACACAAAATAATACCCCACACACCAAAACACCACCACCTCACACTCTACAACCCCACCCCACACCACACACAACAACATCACCACACACACCACAACCACACAACACATCTACCCCCTAACAAATACCCCACACACAGTGAGTTCATTGTTCTCCAGGGGAACGCATCAACCGCGCTTCATCTCCCGGGTTTCGGGGGCAACGGAACCTCAGGGCCCGACAAAGGCCACACCCCGGGGAAGTTACACCAACTATGAGGGTGACACCAAAACCCTCGTGTCTTTTTTGTTTTACGTGTGTATTTGGGGGGATTAAATAGTTTTCATGTGTTTTGGTGGGATTAACTAGTGTTTCACTGTGTTGTATTGGTGGGATTAACTAGTGTTTCACTGTTGTCACGAACGTTGACTGATGACTCGTGGAACCAAGGGCGCAGCGTGATAAGCGTACATTTTATTTAGTACACAACACACGAACAAAACAACAAAACGAAACGATACGTGAAGTCCTGAGGTTACACACACCAAACCTTTACGGATCAAGATCCCACAAACTAACTGGTGCCAACAGGCTGCCTAAGTATGGTCCCCAATCAGAGACAACGAGCTACAGCTGCCTCTGATTGGGAACCACCCTGGCCAACATAGATCTGCACGATCTAGAACAAAAACATAGAAAACTAAACAATGAAAATCCACACCCTCGCTCAACATTAAAGAGTCCCCAGAGCCAGGGCGTGACAGTACCCCCCCCAAAGGCACGGACTGCGACCGCGCCACACAAACACAAGACGGTAGGGGCCAGGTGGGCATTCCGCCTCGGAGGCGGATCCGGCTCCGGGCGTGACCACCACCTTTTCTCCACCTCCCCGTTGCGCCCCTGGTCTGGTCCCGCAGACTGGAGCTGGACCCGACGACGGTGGACCAGACCTTACCGGCTCCGGACTGGAGCCGCTGGCCGGAGCTGGACTGGACACCGGTGGAGCGGATTGCTCTGACTCCGGAGTGGAGCAGCTGACCGGTGCCGGACCAGGCACCGGTGGAACAGGCACAGGCCGTGCCGGACTGGACACACGCACCACTGGCTTGGCGTGGGGAGCAGGAACGGGCCGGACCGGGCTGACGACGCACACCACTGGCTTGGTGCGGGGGGCAGGAACAGGCCGGACCGGGCTGGCGACGCGCACCACTGGCTTGGTGCGAGGGATAGGAACAGGCCGGACCGGGCTGGCGACGCGCACCACTGGCTTGGTGCGAGGGACAGGAACAAGCCGGGCTGGACTGGGAACACGCACCACTGACTTGGTGCGGGGAGCAGGAACAGGCCGGGCTGGACTGGGAACACGCACCACTGGCTTGGTGCGGGGAGCCGGAACGGGCCGGACTGGGAACACGCACCACTGGCTTGGTGCGGGGAGCCGGAACGGGCCGGGCCGGACTGTGGAGGCGGACTGGAGGTCTGGAGCGGAGAGCTGACACAACCCGTCCTGGCTGAATGCCTATTTCCACACAATCTGTGTGAGGCATCAGCACAGGACGTACAGGGCTGTGCACTCGTACTGGCGCTACAGCACGTGGCACTGGCGCAGGATATACGGGACCGAGGAGGCGTACTGGAGGCCACGAGCGTTGAGCCGGCACACCCTGTCCTGGCTGCATGCCCATCTTAGCACGACACGTGCGTGGTGCTAGCACCGGACGTACAGGACTGTGCCGGGAACACTCGCGGCACAGTACGTGGCTCCGCATAACACGGAGCCTGCCCAGTCACACGCTTCCTAGCCTGAGTACGGGGAGTTGGCTCTGCTCTAACCCTAGGCTCCACCAACCACCCTTTTAGCCCCACACATTTTTTTTTATTGGGGCTGTCTCTCGGGCTTCCTCCTCGGCCGGTACCCTCTGCGTTGCCGCTGCTCCTCTCTGTAGGGCGCCTCCACTGTCTCCTCCCAAGGACGGCGATCCATTCCGGCCTGAATCTCTTCCCAAGTCCAGGATCCCCTCCCGTCCAGGATCTCCTCCCAAGTCCAGGCTGTCTGTTCCTGGACACGCTGCTTGGTCCTTTTTTGGTGGGATCTTCTGTCACGAACGTTGACTGATGACTCGTGGAACCAAGGCGCAGCGTGATAAGCGTACATTTTTAATTAGTACACAACACACGAACAAAACGACAAAACGAAACGATACGTGAAGTCCTGAGGTTACACACACCAAACCTTTACGGATCAAGATCCCACAAACTAACTGGTGCCAACAGGCTGCCTAAGTATAGTCCCCAATCAGAGACAACGAGCTACAGCTGTCTCTGATTGGGAACCACCCTGGCCAACATAGATCAACACGATCTAGAACAAAAACATAGAAAACTAAACAATGAAAATCCACACCCTCGCTCAACATTAAAGAGTACCCAGAGCCAGGGCGTGACAACTGTGTTGTATTGGTGAGATTAACTAGTGTTTCACTGTGTTGTATTGGTGAGATTAACTAGTGTTTCACAGTGTTGTATTGGTGAGATTAACTAGTGTTTCACTGTGTTGTATTGGTGAGATTAACTAGTGTTTCACAGTGTTGTATTGGTGACATTAACTAGTGTTTCACTGTGTTGTATTGGTGGGATTAACTAGTGTTTCACTGTGTTGTATTGGTGGGATTAACTAGTGTTTCACTGTGTTGTATTGGTGAGATTAACTAGTGTTTCACTGTGTTGTATTGGTGAGATTAACTAGTGTTTCACTGTGTTGTATTGGTGGGATTAACTAGTGTTTCACTGAGTTGTATTGGTGGGATTAACTAGTGTTTCACTGTGTTGTATTGGTGGGATTAACTAGTGTTTCACTGTGTTGTATTGGTGAGATTAACTAGTGTTTCACTGTGTTGTATTGGTGAGATTAACTAGTGTTTCACTGTGTTGTATTGGTGGGATTAACTAGTGTTTCACTGTGTTGTATTGGTGGGATTAACTAGTGTTTCACTGTGTTGTATTGGTGAGATTAACTAGTGTTTCACTGTGTTGTATTGGTGGGATTAACTAGTGTTTCACTGTGTTGTATTGGTGGGATTAACTAGTGTTTCACTGTGTTGTATTGGTGGGATTAACAAGTGTTTCACTGTGTTGTATTGGTGGGATTAACTAGTGTTTCACTGTGTTGTATTGGTGGGATTAACTAGTGTTTCACTGTGTTGTATTGGTGGGATTAACTAGTGTTTCACTGTGTTGTATTGGTGAGATTAACTAGTGTTTCACTGTGTTGTATTGGTGGGATTAACTAGTGTTTCACTGTGTTGTATTGTGTGAGATTAACTAGTGTTTCACTGTGTTGTATTGGTGGGATTAACTAGTGTTTCACTGTGTTGTATGGTGGGATTAACTAGTGTTTCACTGTGTTGTATTGGTGGGATTAACAAGTGTTTCACTGTGTTGTATTGGTGGGATTAACTAGTGTTTCACTGTGTTGTATTGGTGGGATTAACAAGTGTTTCACTGTGTTGTATTGGTGGGATTAACTAGTGTTTCACTGTGTTGTATTAAGTAGTGACTAAGGTTGTGTTGTGTTAGTGATGTTGTTTGTGAAGGTTGTAGTCGTGACGTTGTGTGAAAGTTGTGAGGTGGTTGTAGTCTTGACGTTGTGTAAAGGTTGTGTGAAGATTGTAGTAATTACGCTGTTGTGTTTCAGAGGAAGCGTCTGGAGGAGTCTCCGCCCCATGTCACCAGCGTTCTGAACCTCAGCGCCTATGAGAGGAGCCTCCTACTCCCCCACGACACCCCCTCCCCCTCCTCAACTCTGTCCTACGCCTCCTCCTCTCTCCCTCGTTCCTCCCCCTCCCTCCCCCGTACTCCCAGGTCTCCCAGTATGGAACCCAGCGGTCGCGGCCTTCCCTCTCGTACCCTCACCCCCCTCCCCCCTGCTCCCACCACCCCCCTCCCCCTCTGTCCATCCCCCCTCCCCGAGCCTCGACACGGGATTCGCCACGTCACCTCACCCTCGCAGGAGCTCCGCCTGCACAACCAGTCAACCAGGTAACAGATACTGTATCTATGGAAACAACACAGACAATAGCACTGTCTGTGTTCCTTCACAGATGTCCCGAAGCCCAATGTCCTTCTCCGTCTGTCTGTAAAAACATCACCACATAGTCATCTGTCTCTTTACTCTGTCTGTCTCCTTCTGTCTGTCTGTCTGTCTGTCTCTTTCCTCTGTCTTTCTGTCTCCTTCTGTCTGTCTCTTTCCTCTGTCTGTCTGTCTGTCTGTCTGTCTGTCTGTCTGTCTGTCTGTCTGTCTGTCTGTCTGTCTGTCTGTCTGTCTGTCTCTTTCCTCTGTCTGTCTGTCTGTCTGTCTGTCTGTCTGTCTGTCTGTCTGTCTACTTCTCTGTCTGTCTGACTCCCAGTATATCTGTGTCTGTCGGTCCCCCAGCAGTCTAAAATGTGTTTCCTGTGTTCTCCAGGAGCCCATATTTGGAGCAGAGGGGGAGTGGCCAGGGGGCAGAGGGGCGGGACCCTCAGAGGCAGGAGTGGTACACCAAGTACTTCTCCTTCTGAACACACACACACACACACACACACACACATTTCCCATGCTTACACACAAACACATTTCCCATGCTTACACACACACACACACACACACACACACACACACACACATTTCCCATGCTTACACACACACACACACACACACACACACACACAAACACATTACCATGCTTACACACACACACACACACACACACATTTCCCATGCTGTACACACACACACCACACCACACACACACATTTCCCATGCTTACACACAAACACGCTATTGCCTCATTTACACAGTATCGCCTCGAACACACACACACACACCACACCCACCAGCAAGACCAACCCGCCTACATCACCTCAAATCAACCAAGAAGTGCTTCCCACACACTCTCTCAGCTCACAGCCTCTGATGATCAGCAACACACACAGCAGATCACTACAACACACAGCAGATCTCTACACACTCATCAGTGTTAACACACACACACACACACACACACACCACACACACACACACAACCACACACACACCACCACACACAGCAATCCTACACACCTGCCACTACCCACACATCAGGTTTAAACACACACACACACACACATACACACACACACACACACACACACTCACAGCAGATCACTACACACCTGCACTACACACACACACACACACAGCAGATCACTACACACCTGCACTACACACACACACACACACACACACACACACCCTCACAGCAGATCACTACACACCTGCACTACACACATCAGCTTTATAAACACACACCCACACACCACAGCAGATCACTACACACCCTGCCACTACACACATCAGGTTTAAACACACACACACAAAAAAACCCCACACCCCAACACACACACACTTTAAACACCACCCACACACCACACACAACACACACCACACACACACACAGATGACCTCTACACATCAGCTACAAATACAAAACACCTGACAGACCAAAACTATGCTTGTTCAATGCAAATGTATGTATTTATAATCAGTAATATGGAATAAAGTATTTTCTTTATATTTAATTTCCTGTGTATATAGTTTGTTGTTCTAGAAGCTTCAGATACTGGCAGGGAGCTGGTCCAGGAACCAGGATGAATGAGTTAGCCGGGTAAACGGCACAGAAATTCTGAATTAACTTCACCTTTTCCAGAAATACAGGCTTGAAATTGGCATGGTATAATTGACTCGACAAACATCCCATGTTCAAGTTTAGTTTTCGAAAAATAAATCAGAAAATCAAGAGATATTTGACTGCTTATCAAAGTTAGCTGGCTAACTTAAAATTGGAATTCATTCCGTTTTAACAATGAAACAGAGAATCATAATATCGGTCATTGATTGGTTATGACGCACCAGTCTGTGTAGAGACCAATCAATAACCGATATTCTGATTCTGTTTTTGGCCTGGACAAGACTGACACATTTTTACTACAGCAATGTCTATTAATTGCCCAAACGCACAACCACTTTCCCACAAATAACCGACTGAGTTATGAACGGATGAAAACATGAACATTAGTATAGCTATGTCACAAAATGGATTTGTTTTTGTCATATTCTTCCTGAGGGTATATATGAACAGATATTAATACGATTTAAATGGTACTAAAACAGTGTCAGATCGACTTTAATGCTTTCTAGACCAGGGTTTCCCAAACTCGGTCCTGGGGCCCCCACTTGGGTGCACATTTTGGTTTTTGCCCTAGCACTACACAGCTGATTCAAATAACCAACTCATCATCAAGCTTTGATCATTTGAATCAGCTGTGTAGTGCTAGGGCATGGTGGCTAGGAAAAACTCCCTAGAAAGGCAGGAATGTGCTCTCACTACTGGTGTCCCCCAGGGCTCGGTTCTAGGCCCTCTCCTCTTCTCTCTATACACCAAGTCACTGGGCTCCGTCATATCCTCACATGGTCTCTCCTATCATTGCTATGCAGATGACTCTCAACTACTGTTCTCCTTCCCCCCCCTTCTGACACCCATGTGGCGACACGCATCTCTGCGTGCCTGGCAGACTCAGCTTGGATGTCGGCCCACCACCTCAAGCTCAACCTCGACAAGACAGAGCTGCTCTTCCTCCCGGGAAAGGCCTGCCCGCTCCAAGACCTCTCCATCACGGTTGGCGACTCCTTGGGTGTCCCCCTCTCCCAGAGTGCAAAAAAACCTTGGCGTGGGCTCCCAAGGCTTGTGCCATCAAACCCATGCAACTCATCCAGAACGCTGCAGCCCGTCTGGTGTTCAACCTTCCCCCAAATTCTCTCTGTCACCCCCCTCCTCCCCCCTCCACGGCTTTTCCCGTCGAAAAATCGCATCATCTTTAAACCCTGGGAAACACAAGGGGGGAAACCCTTCCCCTTCCCGGCTCCAACCCTACACCCCAAACCCCACCTCCGTTCCGTACCTTACCTTCGGCTCCAACCCACCCCCCCCCAACCCGAAACACTCCCCTTTTCCCCCACCTTGGGGCTCCCGGCCCTCCCTGGAGCAGGGGAAAGGGGGGAAGGGTTCCTTTGGCTCCCCCCACCAAAAACCCCCAACCTGAGCACTCCGTTCCCACCTTACCTTCAGGCCCAACCCCACACCCCCAAACCCGGGGACTCCGTCCCCCTACCTTTCCCCTTTTTGGTCCAACCCCACACCCCCCAAACCGAGCACTCCGTTTCCGTACCTTTCCTTTAAAGGGTCCAACCCCCTACACCCCCCAAAACCCGAGCATTTCCTTCCGTACCTTACCTTTCAGGCTCCAAACCCTACACCCCCCCAAACCCGAGTTTCTCCGTTCCGTACCTTTCCCTTAGGCTCCAACCCCCAAAAACCCCCAACCCGGCCCCTCCTTCCGTAACCCTTTCCTTCAAGGTCCAAAACCCCACACCCCCAACCCGAGCACTCCGTTCCGTACCTTACCTTCAGGCTCCAACCCTACACCCCCAACCCGAGCACTCCGTTCCGTTCCGTACCTTACCTTCAGGCTCCAACCCTACACCCCCAACCTGAGCACTCCGTTCCGTACCTTACCTTCAGGCTCCAACCCTACACCCCCAACCTGAGCACTCCGTTCCGTACCTTACCTCAGGCTCCAACCCTACACCCCCAACCTGAGCACTCCGTTCCGTACCTTACCTTCAGGCTCCAACCCTACACCCCCAACCTGAGCACTCCGTTCCGTACCTTACCTTCAGGCTCCAACCCTACACCCCCAACCCGAGCACTCCGTTCCGCCACCTCTGGTCTCCTGGCCCTCCCGCTCAGCCCAATGAAAGCTCTTTTCTGTCCTTGCAGCCCAATGGTGGAACAAGCTTCCCCCTTAAGTTAGGACAGCGGAGTCCTTGCCCATCTTTTCGAAAACGTCTGAAACCCTACCTCTTTGACGAGTATCTTAAATAACTCACAGTGCCTCCGACGCCCCCCCCCCCTCTTTTCCCACTAGCACTGACTTTGCTGATAAATGCTTTGTTGAGGGAGAATGTACTTGATGCGATTGTGATGTGTTGTTGTCTCACCTAGCTATCTTAAGATGAATGCACTAATTGTAAGTCGCTCTGGACTGGCTAAATGACTCAAATGTAAATGTAAAATGAAGAAGCCTAGAGAGGAACCAGGCTCTGAGGGGTGGCCAGTCCTCTACTGGCTGTACTGGGTAGAGAGGAACCAGGCTCTGAGGGGTGGCCAGTCCTCTTCTGGCTGTACTGGGTAGAGAGGAACCAGGCTCTGAGGGGTGGCCAGTCCTCTACTGGCTGTACTGGGTAGAGAGGAACCAGGCTCTGAGGGGTGGCCAGTCCTCTTCTGGCTGTACTGGGTAGACCAGAGGAACCAGGCTCTGAGGGGTGACCAGTCCTCTACTGGCTGTACTGGGTAGACCAGAGGAACCAGGCTCTGAGGGATGACCAGTCCTCTACTGGCTGTACTGGGTAGAGAGGAACCAGGCTCTGAGGGGTGGCCAGTCCTCTACTGGCTGTACTGGGTAGACCAGAGGAACCAGGCTCTGAGGGGTGGCCAGTCCTCTACTGGCTGTACTGGGTAGACCAGAGGAACCAGGCTCTGAGGTGGTGACCAGTCCTCTACTGGCTGTACTGGGTAGAGAGGAACCAGGCTCTGAGGAGTGGCCAGTCCTCTACTGGCTGTACTGGGTAGAGAGGAACCAGGCTCTGAGGGGTGCCAGTCCTCTACTGGCTGTACTGGGTAGAGAGGAACCAGGCCTCTGAGGGGTGGCCAGTCCTCTACTGGCTGTACTGGGTAGAGAGGAACCAGGCTCTGAGGGGTGGCCAGTCCTCTACTGGCGGGTACTGGGTAGAGAGGAACCAGGCTCTGAGGGGTGGCCAGTCCTCTACTGGCTGGTACCGGGTAGAGAGGAACCAGGCTCTGAGGGGTGGCCAGTCCTCTACTGGCTGTACGGGTAGACCAGAGGAACCAGGCTCTGAGGGGTGGCCAGTCCTCTACTGGCTGTACTGGGTTAGACCAGAGGAACCAG